GCCTTGGGATACCAAAAAGTAGGAATAGTAATACAAAATTCCAAAAGATCTCCAAACAAACAAAAAGTTAAATAACATTAGGTATTTGTTAAATTTTAGCTAAAAAATTATTTATATCACCTTTTTTATATATATTTTTTATAGAATAAAATGTTTTATTATTATACGTATTGTTTTCAGTTATTTCAACTGGATATGGCTGAATTTATCCTTCACTAATCTTGTAATTGACTTATTATGGCTATATTTACAAATTGTTAATTTCAAGAACAAGATAAACGATTTGCAGGCCAACACAGAATGTGCATCTTAAAAAAATCATAAAAACCTACACATAATGCAGTAAATCAGCACCTCTAAAAGTTTGGATGATTGTGATGCCCTGGTGAATGGTGGGCATTAAACAGCAGAGTTTGATTTCACCAATATCACAATCAAATGTTTGCTACAATATTCATATAGTATACCAATATATACCCTTTTTCAAAGTAAAACACTTCCACGTCACGATTTATACAAAGTGACGTCACTTATATTTAAAATTTCCAGAACGTCAACCTTAGAGTTCAAATTTTCCTAACTCAACTAATAATACGAAACCCATAAGGAACTTCTCGGTCTTTCATAGGCGTCAACATGGTGTAATAATCAGAAAAATGTAATCATCATTATGTTGGAAATTTTAGAATTATATTGACTACATAACCAAAAACATTTGTTATTATTAATAATATAAATTTTATGAAATAGCTCTTTAAGTGGAATATTCCACAAAATAATAATTTTAATTAAATATATTAGACAATTGTACGCAACTGATACGGAAATACTTCAACTTTTATTGACAGTTAAGCGTGTGGCAAAAGTGTAAGAAGTGTTGCCGCTTTTTTAGAGTAAGAATTTTGTTTATGTTTTGATTTCTGACACAATTTGATCATAGTATAATATATATTAATAAATTGTATTTATAAATACATATTAAATTTAGATTAATAGCTTTAAAATTTAATCATTGTGTATTGTGATTTTGAGATGCCAAAACAAATAAATAGTCTGTAGAAAGCTGATAAGCTTTGATATAAGATAGATTATTTTAAACAAGAAATAAAAACAAGAAACAAGAAAGCCCTAAAGAACGTAAGTTTAAAATTTAGAATGTATAATTTTGTATTAAAATGTTTTCTTATGTATTTGAATGTGTTGCAATAGTCTTAAAACTAAGTGTATTTACTGTTAATATAATAGTTTGACAAATAGTTGACATTTTAAAAATTCCTCACTTACTAACTATTCTGATGTTTTGGCAACGCTGTGGCGTTCTGACGACGTAAATCTTGAATGACGTGCAAGCTTTTTTATATGAAAAGTCCATACACAAATCTGGTAATAAATTTGATTTCCAATGATCTTTCCATTACAATTCCTTCTGCTATCCCTAAAATTTTTGAGTGTGACTGATTTTTTGGTAGTTAATCTGAAGAATCAGCTTCCTACCATTCAGCATTGTTCCTGATTGGTCGTTCAAGTTTTACCAACCTACTAGTTTATACTGATTACATTATAAATGCATTTCAAAAACAGTTCTTAGATGGATTCCATTTATATTGACTTGTCTAAAGCATTCGACAGGGTAAATCAATGCCTTTTATTGCATAAACTGGAATTTTTTGGTGTGTCTGGGGAGCTTCTTTACTGGTTGAAAAATTATATGCAAGACCAGTCTTTTTGTGTCAAACTGAAGGTCTTTACTTCAACTGAATACTTCCAAAGGTCTAAAATGCCCATTTAAGACTTCTACTATTTGCCGTTTTCGTTGATGATGCTATTCAAATCTGATTGTATTGGGTTACATAAATAATTGGGTAGTTTTGCGAACTGGTATTAATAAAAAATTAATCATTAATCGTGAATAATGTCAGGCGATTCAGTTTTATAGATTTCTTGAGCTTCTGATTTTTAATTACAATTTAGAGGATATTTTGATTAAGGGGGCCAATAATGTCACAGATCTAGATGTGGGTTTTCAGATAAATATGTCTTACAATCTGCATATAAATCATATATGCAACAAGACTATGAAACAGCTAAGTTTCATTAAGAGGCATAACAGATTTTTGTAGGATTGCATCTCTAAAAACTCTATAACTTTTTTTTGTCCAATCCCATCTAAAATTCAACTATGTCTGGTTTACCTTTACATAAGCATGCATCAAAAGGGTAGAGAGATTTAAAAGAAGATTTCTGATGCACTGTTCTTTTAAATTTCATAGGCCATATTCTTATTCTGGTATGATCAATTTCTTGAATATGGATTCTTTTCTTACCAGAAGAAATAAATTTGCTTTTACTACGTCAGAATTCACTTTTTCATGTTTCTCGTCGCATTAAAAGGATGGAAAAAGGGCATCTTAATAAATGGCCGAAAAATAAACAAGCTACGTTTTGCAGATGACACAGCCCAGCCCTTCTTGCAAATAATCAAGAAGAGTTAATTGATCTCATACGACTGGTTGAAAACGAAAGTCAAATGTTTGGTCTGTAGTTAAACATATCAAAGACAAAGATCATGATAGAGTATAGACTACATAACAATCATTCACAAATAACCACGATTGACCGCTGTCAATTCGCTGTAGTAAAGGTGGCCAAATTATGGAACGAACTCTATAAATAGGTTGATCAACTGCCTAATATTACCAATACTAACATACGGATGTGAATCTTGGACCTTACGACAAGCGGAAAGAAGAAAGATAAAAGCCACTGAAATGTTCTGTTGGAGAATAATCTTACGAATTCCATGTAACCTCCATTGGAACCAAACAGCAAAAGTAAAAGTTGAAAGCATAACTTAGGTACGGATTATAATAATATTACATTTTATTATACATCTTTTTTAACAATCTTATTTATCTGGACGCCCCTGGACTGCATACTAGTATAAACCATCGAGCAATAAGACAAAAGAGGGAATCTAATCCTTATGAAAAGGAGACCAAAAAAGTGGCCTCTGATGGCGGACATATCCGGAAATGCGAATGCGCGAAATTTAAATTTTCCGACACTTATCAGCAGTAGCTATATAATATTTTTCAGAATGTGTCTTAGACGAGAAAGTTTTAATTAATTATTAATGATAAGAGTCTAAAATGCGACACAATTGTTAAAAAACTTCAATATAAATAAGATTTCATGTGACATTTGGGACAAACAATAACATAACCCAACTAAATTTGATGTCAAAGGAGGAGAGAGACTCTCTTTCCTTGTTTAATGTGGTCTCTAAAGATCGCACTTCCTGTCTAACAATATGTTTGCCCCCACTACCTTTACATTCCCTCTATTGTCTTTTTGCTCGGTGGTATAAACACATGTGGCATGGAAAGTAAAGAATAATTTTAATTACCAGATAGGACAAACTGTCGCCAATGAGTACCAATGGTCAAAGTACCATGACTAAATAAGGCATTTTTAGATATAGAGAGTCGGAAGGCAAATGAGGCAGTCAATAAGCAGCGCTCGAAAGATGATGTGTTTTGGAATAATCTTTAAGACGAGTTTAACAGATGCTGTTGCGTTGTTGTATATATGTTTTATCAAATTTGTATATCTATAGTCTACTCGGCTTTGTTCTAATGCTCCTAATACTGCCGGTAATTCCACGGTATCAAAAGCTTTCTTGAAGTCTATGAAAATCAACGTCAGTGGTTTATTATATTCAAAACATTTTTCAATTAGTATTTTAAGTGCTTGTAGGTGGTCATTTGTTTCATAATCTTTCCTAAACCCAGCTTGCTCCTTAGACTGATAGAAATCTAATTTTCGTTCTAAACGTTTTGTGATGATCTTGGTAAATCATTTGTAGAGATGTGACAACAGACTTATCGGTCTATAATTCTCTAGGTCTGATATATCTCCTTTTTTGTGTATAAGGATAGTAATTGCATTGTTCCATTTTGTAGGGACAATACCTTGGTTTAGACATAGGTTGAATAGTTCAGTTACTACTTCCAGCATTTTCTTGCCTCCTACTTTAACAGCTTCTATTACTATTTGGTCATCTCCCGGAGCCTTGTTGTTTTTCATTTCCTTTAGAATTCGTTTCACTTCTTCTATCGTTATGGTAGGTTCGGATCCTTGGTTCATTACTCTGCGTTCTCTAATTTGTGTTTTGTCTTCTTCTATTAACTGGCTTTTGTATAATTCTTCATAGAAGCTTTTTGCTATCTCTACTATTCTCTCTCTATTTGTTGTTATATTACCTTCCTTGTCTTTTAGTTTAACAATTTCCTTTTTACCATCACAAAGTTTTCTTCTGAGTATTTTCATATTTCCATTTTGCTCAATCACATTTTGTATTTTCTCAGTATTATACTTTCTCTGATCTTTACGAATTTCTTTGAGGTATCTCCGTTCAGATTTCTGAGTTCAGCTGAGTCGCCTTTCTGCGGCTTTATACACTTTGTATATTTCTATAATATGTATAATTGACCCATAAAGATATCTTGAATTATTAAAAAAACTTTATTGAATATTGTTGTGAATTTTACATTTTTATACCTAGTTTGAAACTGCGATAATATACCTATTTATGAGGATTAAAACATTCTTTTTCATTGCTTCTTTTCAAAATCGCTAAAAAATTGTTTGCACTACCTTTTATGTAACGAACGACGCCAATGATCGTTAATTGTAATTTATTAAAGTTGTCCACGTACGGTATCAACATAGGTATCTTAATAAAAAAGGAGACCTCTCAATGACAGGCAACAATGGTGTAATACATATACGTGTTTTTTATGTTATTTAGTGCAATTAGTGGCTTACAACCTAATATTTTTACTTTCATGACCTTATTATTATCAATACTTCCACTTATTCCAAGTTATATTTTGATAACTAGGTAACAAACCATTGTGTTAAATAATATTATACTAACACCACACATAGTGCCAAAAGAAAAAAAATAGTGCGTTATTCGGAAAAATTTGAGTTCTAAAATGTCGAATCGTTCAAAAAGTATTATGGCTATACAGATCTATTTAGCGGTACTAGTGTTGTATGGATTCAGTTTGTATTATTCGACATTTGTAGGAAACAATATTAAATCGAACAAGGTTAAAGTACCTTTAAAGATGAGGGCCGTCGTAGATTACGGAAAGTGTTTCTTTACATTGTGGAATTTTGTAAGTAATATTTTTTGTATGTATTAAAATTTATTATGCCGCACATATTGAAAATGTGCATTCTAGCGCGCTCTAATGCTCGTGTGAAGTCGTTATTCAACTGACAGGATCGCCTTATTACGTTTTAGTCTAGTAGGCGAGCGGTTTACCCCTCAAAAGAGGCTTAGAAACAGAATATAATATGTACCTACTAAATTTTTGTTTGCATTTCTAATGCACCAAACCTTTTTTATTCGATTTTATATATTTTTTAAGATGAAATGTATTTTTTTTAATTATTACAAGTGGGCCGGCAATTGTTATTAACAAATAACTTATACACAAAAGCAATTTCACCTAATTGCTTCAGAATCAATTTTTTTTTGGTGTATCTCATCAAAATAAACCAAAAATCACTAATTAAGGCATTTTTTCAACAAAAAAATGCAAATAACTCGAAAAGGAAGCATTTTTCGAACAATTATCAAGAGCGAAAAAATGTTTATTTTGACGAGATACACCTAAAAAAATTGATTCTGAAACAATTCGGTAAAATTGCTTTTTTATATAAGTTATTTGTTAATAAAAATTGCCGGCCCACTTGTAAAAATTTTTTTCTACTCTCTTACTAGTAAATTGTATATTACCTACTATTTGGATGCTAAGTAAATGCATCATAACAGATACTGACACGTAATGGCCAGCACGTAATAAAAAAAATTACGCTTCAGTTCTGTAAAAATGTGTAATATCACATACGCCTTGTAAGTCAGTTGGTCGAGTTACCATGGAAACGAATTAACAGGCGTTGTTTTGACAGGTTAAAAATTATTAATCTGTCAGTGTAAATATAGTGGTAATTTAATTTTTATTTTTATAAACAAAAATAATGGTAGAAAAAGTATAGTACACAACTTGAGTTGTAAGCTTATTACATGCTTGTAAAATTAATGCGCTCGCCGCTACGCGGCTCGCGCGAACTTTTTTACTCGCATGTAATAAGCTTCTTACAACTCTCGTTATGTAATATACTATTAAAAAATACATTTCACCTTGGAAAAATATATAGAATCGAATAAAAAAAGGTTTGGTGCATTTGAAATGCAAAAAGAATTTTAGTAGGTTGATGCTCTGCTGATAGGGGTAAACCGCTCGCCTATAGGGGCACAGGGGATTTCGTGGCCGATTGAGGTCCATCAGATTTTAATTATTTTGGCCCGCCGAATCCGAATCTTCAACATAATAATCGGAATTTTTGAGCAGAAATTGTTATTAACAATTTAATTGTATAATGCTTAGAACTAATTAACTAATAAAGATACTAGTCCAGTCGTCAGAGATTTGACACCTAAAATCATACGATTAAGCCGAATTTTATCAAGAATATCAATTTTGGGACCCCTAAAAAGATGCAAAAATGTTTACCACTTTCACCCTCAAAATTCCCCTCTCGTAGGTGAGATAATTTTGCGTTTAATTCGTTTTAAAGGTGAAGAGTGCAGCTTTCGTCCGCAATTTTTGTATTTAGTCGCAAAAGCCATTTTCTATAAAGCTGTTCAATAAACTTTGCCCGATTTTTGCCATTTTTTACGATTCTCGTGAGATCAATACAATTTATTACTTTGATTGACCCTTCCTATACTACGTTCCACGTTAAGAAAATAACATTGCGGAGATAGGGCCATATATTTCTTATGGACGATAGAAACGCGGCGTTGCCACGACACACACAAGCACAATTTAGGGTTGTATAATTTGTATTTTCGTGTCCACAGACATTAATTAAATTAATATTTTTAACGTAATTGACCAAAAGTGCCCATTCGAAACAAGAGATGAAAAGTAGGGAAAATGATTTTAATTAGATAAAAATAGTATTTACAAAAGATAATTTTATTTTATCTTATTTTAATTATAGTAACGACAGTTTATTTGTTTTTCGGTGAGAATATCATATGCCATGAATCATAGAAATCAGTAGAAAATATTGCTTAGTTAAATCATGCATTTTGCCGCCTATTAAAGTTTTAAAAGCAAATAAACTGACCGCTTTAAATGCGTATATCTAATTACTAATTGCAACTTAAAATAATAGGTACGATGTGCGTATGTCAGCGATTTTATGTCGTTATCTGACTACATAATGATAATAAGGCTTTTATTTAGTAGTTATTCTGACTTTACAGTTAAATGTTAATTGAAAATGAAAATTCAAAAATTAAGCAAAGGGAATATCTTGGACATCCGTGCAAAAGAGAGTCTGAGAGTTTTGGCAACACTGATCTCCATAAGCGTAATGTTATTTTCAAATTGAAACAAAGATTTGTGAAATTTCCATTGTTGGAGACCAGTCTTCAAAACCTGTAACATAAAAATTCGATTTTAATTTTTGGCAACCAATATGAGACATTTGAAATATGACTGAAAACGCAGAATTTAAAATTTTGCACTACAAACAATCGCACGTCACAGGAAATGTCTCCAGAAGACGGTTTTGGCGGTGTAATTTATAGCAGAAGTTAAAATTTAAAGCAGAAGTTTTTAAAAAAACGTACTAGTGCAATTAAATAAGAGCAGTTTTAAACGTTTGAGATCGTTTGTAAAGTGAAAGTTTAAATTCAGCGTTTTTTAAGCATATTTCAAGACTCAAAACTAAAATTTCATGCTATAGGTTTTGAAAATTAGCTTCTAGTTATAGAAACCTTATAGTGAACGGTCAATGAAAAGGTTACATTGTATTGATCTCATGAGAATCATAAAAAATGGCAAAAATCGTGCGACGTTTATTTATTTAACACCTCTATAAAAACTGAGTTTATTTGCTGCAAAATACAAAAATTGCATACGAAAGGTACACTCTTTACCTTTAAATTGCATCTTGATTTTTGTCGATACGACACTCGGATCAAAAGATGTTGAACTTTTATCGTCGAGGTACAAAATCTCTGAGAGAACGGTCACAGCCACCTTTACTTTCAAGCCATGAAGCAAAAAAGGCAACACCGCATTCTATGACATCGGTAGTCCGATAATCAGCTGTAAGGTCTACCAGAAAATTAAACTAATTTATTTGAATTTTAGGAAACTGATATTTTGAAAACTTTAATTCATTACAGAAATATTTTTAGGGAAATTAAATTAATAAAACCTTATATATACCTAATAAATATATATAAAGTTTTATTATTATTATGGTTATATTATCAATAAAATAATCATTAGAGTAAAATTTATTGCACTTAAAATACAGTGTCAAACAGTTAATCTTACAATCAAATGGAGTCAAGAATCTCTAGAAATTTTAAATATTAAGTACTTAAGCATATAAATAACACAATACATTAACACGACATTTAAAAAGATTATTAAAAATACAAAAGATATAAAATTTGTTAAGCAAAAACTTAGTGTAACTATTATGATTAAAAAATTCATCCTAAGAAATCAGACACAATATAAATATGGTTCTAAATTAATCTAATTGAAAATTAAATATTTTACTATTTACTTATAACTTTTGTTGAATTTTCATACTTAGGTATACGAAAGTAGCAATTTTATATATGAATAGGTTTTTTGTCATATAGACCAAGTTAAAAGAGGTATACATGAAAAATGTGTTGAATGTAACATACCATTTATAACTTGTATATCGATTTAAAATAGCCTATATTCTCAAAAGATTTTTGAATGTAATGCTCAAATTTGTTATCACTTATCTAAAAAGCAGATCTATATCGAGAAAGGAAGTGCTCTAATTGTGATCAACTTGTTAATTTACTATATTGTAAAATCCATTTCAAATCATTACTACTTAATCTATTGTTACTTACATTGAAGATTACACTAAAATTATTGCTAACTATTACACTACTTATTACACAAATATTATTAATGTTTAATACATAGAAATATACACAGTCACTTGTAATTTTACTTGTCCAGTTTTTCAATGGGATATTATTGTATAAGACTCTTAAAAATGATTCAAATGAATCTATTAAATCATTGTCTAAGAATTCTGTTATCTCTTGTTCCCTCTTCTTATGCAAAAAGTGTCTTCTGTCTTCGGGATTCCTTCTTTCTTTAGTACGATGAACAGTTACATATGATGGTACTTCAGAAAATATATTAGGAACTGCATTGTCTTTTAATTTGGAAAATATTAACTTTTCAATGTGTACATTTTTACCTTCTTTATCTTTATTCTTACATCTTTATCTTCTCATTGTCCGTCCGCTGAATATCATTCTCATGAAAATGTTTGGCACATACTACGGAAGATTTGGTAATTGTATAGCCTTCTCTGTGAATAGAGCATAACCCAGTATACCTTCGTTGGGGATCTTTGGGAAACGAAAACGTACTTTCTGCCTGTTTCGTTTTTAAAGTACTGGCATAATTAGTTTTGCTACCAGGTACACAACAATGCCAGAGCATCTGTAACAAAAAACAAAAGTATTATTATTGTTGTTTTTAGTTTACATATTTTGTAATAAGAAGTAAAAGTATTATTATTTTTAGTTTGTTTTGTAGGTTATATTATTTATACTTGCCTTTTAAATTGTCGTTAAAAATCTTCTAAACTTAATGAAATTTCACTTATATTAATATTTTCTAATTGATTTAAACACAATTTACAAATAAAACATTCGAATAAGGTTAAAAATGCCTTCCTATATGAAATGTTAAACAAAACAAACCACGGTCGGACTACCACACGTTGTTGCCAAATTTCTACTTCATGGCTTGGAAGTAAAGGTGGCTGTGGAACGGTTCATTCTACGCAAAAAATATAATTAACCTGTTTTGTTCAAAATTATCTTAGCTAGATTTTTTATTTGAAACATTTTTTTTCTATGGCGCAGACGCGTACAGATTCTTGTCAAATCGATTTTTTTCCGGTTTTCTCTCTCTACGTGGAGGATTTTAAGACAGAAAGGTGGAGGGCCACTTTTATCAAAATTCAGCTTGCTCGTATGATTTTTAGGGGTTCAGTAGCATTTTCGTCTCTGACGACT